AATAAACATACACACACACACACACATATTTTGATTTGAAAAAATATAAAGAAAGTTTATTTTCTTCTTTTTTTCGATTTAGCTACGATTGGTATAGTTAGTTTGGCGCTATCGGCAATAGATTATGCTTGGGATTTGGCGTATACACATGTACCTGACAGACTTGCAATTGTTTATAGCCGTTTTACACTAACAAATTGACGTCTGACAAAAAAACGTTATATACATTTCTTTCATGTTTTTTCCAGTAGAATCGATTGCCGCTATCAGTTTTTTGAAAATAATAACTTTTTGATAATTTGTTTAAATAATTTTTTATAAACAATTGAAAATGGCAAAAGAAATACACGGGTATTTTTTTTTACGATTTAGCTACGATTGGCATAGTTAGTTTGGCGCTATCTTTCCCAGGTTTGGCCTGGGCCTTAATGGGTCAAGTTTATTAGCGTAATCCGACATATAGTTGAACAGCTTTTCGTTCATGATCAGTGCACTCGGTACCTTCTTTGGTGGAAACAGCTGAAACTCCTCGTTCACTTTGGCTACGATTTTTGCACCGTATTGCGTTTAAACTTGTTTGAATCCGGCGATCATATACTTGGATTCGTGTGCAATTCACGAATCTTCATAGTGGGTTTGAATTGATTACAAGCTAAATTATTCAGCTGCGCGAAATCCATCTGTAGAAAAAAAAAACAATGATATTTACACTCAGTTGACTTCAAACAAAACACACACAAACACACAAAAATCCCAATTACCTCGAGTAATTTTTTTAATCACGGAAATTTTATTTTTTTCTAATTTTATCGACAAACCGAGCTTCCAGAAACTTTCTTTTCCTTGGAGCAAGTTGACTAAGAATGAAATTAGAAGACTGCTGCTGTTGCTGCTGCTGCTGTTGCTGCTGCTCACTACTCGACGTCGTCGTCGTCGTCATCGTCGATGTTGCAGGTAACTTTGTCTCGATGAGAATGAGCTGCCAAGCCTCGGGTGCCGATTGATATAATCCATCCCCCACTCCGGTCTTTTTCGACAGCGGCGGTGGCGGTTCGACAGTGGCCGTTGGCTCGACTGCGATCATTCCCAACGCTTCTATCCGCCCCTCCCTCTCCACCAATGGAATGCCGTAATGGCCCCAAGGAAGCGTATCGGTGGTTCCGGGCAGCAAGAAACGTTTATCGTCGTGCGCGCTGAGCGCGATCTTTGTTTGTCTTTCGCTGTACAACTGATGATGACGCGATCTGATAGACTTTTGCTGTCGGCTCAAAATCACATTTTCTCGGAGACATTTGACGTAGTCCGCGAACGTAATCGTGGTATTCAGCACCGAATTCTTGATCCCCTTTGCCTTCTTTATTGCATCTCTATTCTGAACTCTCACGCTGTACATTTTGCTTCTGAGTTCCACGAACTCGAGCATGAGCATTCCGGCGTTTTCATCCTTCATCTTGCCAACCACCCTCTTATTGGCTCTGGGAATCGCGAAACGATTCGGCTCTGGAAAATTCTACGTATCGAATTCGCGAATAGATGATTTGAAGTATCCAAAAACACAGGGATTAATGGAGTTACTGGTTGCAAAGCAACCTGATCAAAGTTTAATCACTTCCAATGATCTCAAGAGCTACAAAGAAATCTTGGAGATAGGGAAACGTACAGTTTTCTTAAGATAGATGGAGTCACTCATGCCAAATCGCGTATAAATCTATTATAAGTCTATTATAAATCTATTATAAGTCACTAAATATATATAAATAACAATTTGAGAGTTATATTTGATTCTCAAATGTTATTTTTTGCATCTATAAATATCTAAAATAAAATGGAACTTAAATGAGACGTAGCTTAAATGGTAAATCGTACGACTTAATTTATCTAACTGCACAAACTACTCAATAGAATAAAATAATTTTCTAACTTTTGATGACTAAGCTAAACGGAAAAAATGAAAACTCAGTGGAAAACGCATAAGAGGAGCTTTTTCTTTTTTTCTGCATTCTGTATAGGGTTTGGGTGTCGGCAGACCATGCTGTTTGTACAAGGACATCCTAAGAATATGGACGCATATAACAAAGTCGTAAAATTTTTTATACCTATTTTCTAATCGCAAACTATTTGGTCAGCTTGACTTCTTTTTGAATTTGAAGAAACTTTGCAACGTATTTTCGCTTCTCGCAATTGTGTAGTTTGATGCATTGAAGTCGTAATACAAAAAAATAGAAAAAATAAAATAAAATAAAATGGCACTATTAATTATCCGACGTTACAACTATATTCTCCATTTTCACTATTTTAACTAACACTTGAAACACTAACAAAAAATTTGTTTACACTAATAAAAATTTAAAAAGAAAAACTAATCATCATTTTCACAATTAGCTATGAACAGCTCGAAGTTTTCCATGAGACTGACCATCGAAAATCCTACGGGACGCTCGCAATATTATAAGGTAAAATTTTTTCTACAATATGAGAATAAGATAAGCTACATACGTTCCTAGGTTATAAAGAGGATAGGTAGTAAGCATAGCTGCTCTCTCTCTCTCTTTCTCTCTTCCAGAAAGTAGCGGAGAAGCTTGATCACCTTCAAACTAGTTGTGATCTGCATTTGTGATAGACATAGTCAACTTAAGATAAGAGGGTAGGTAGTAAGCATAGCTGCTTTCTCTTTTCTCTCTGTTCAAAAAGATTTATGTGAAAATGACTAGGATAGCAGAGAAGGATTAGCGGGGATTCAAGTATGTACAGCTCTCCTCCACGGAGAGAGAGAGAACCAAAATATCCCCTCTATGAGAGAATGGTCCCAAGTCACGCTAAGCTAGAGCGTGGGAGAGAGAGAGAGAGAGAGAGAGAGAGAGAAAGCTAGAGAGAGAGAGAGAAAGAGAGCACACATTTACTACTATAGCAGCGCATCCCCAAGATAGAACTATGGACAGGGTGCGCTCTCCTCCTCCGCACGCTCGGACCCTATACCAAATGTATGTGTTTGTAGCTAATATACACAATAAGTATCCTATAACGTACATGAGGCATTGGCCATAGTGGTAGAGCGCTAGCCTGCCAACCCAGAGGACGCTGGTTTGATTCTCCGATCTGTCTTCATTTTTTTCAATTATCGCTTTCTATTCTTTTCATTCTCAATGTAGCAATTAAATTATCAATAATATTTATAACTTTTTAAAAATACATTTAAATAATTTAGATAGAAAGCAATATGTAGGTTCAGCTGAGACTAGAAGCCCTGGGAACCTTCCTCAATATAAAACCCTTCCTCAAAAAATTATAAATAAATATGAACATTAATAATAATTAACATGGAAGGGTTACGCCAGGGCATCAAAGGGTTAAGCCAGGGACCCCCGCAGATATTATTAATAATAATTATTAATATTAATAATTATTATTAACATGAAAGGGTGAGGCCATGGGACCAAAGGGTTACGGACCCCCCACAGGGTGGCCTGAAACATACTTATATTTCAGGCCACCGGGACCTCCCGCAGAGTGGCCTGAAACATATATTGCTATACCACTTTTGTTTTACTTAAAAACTATTTCAAACATATTTTAAAAATTGAAAATCAAAAATCCGAAAAAACACGTTGAATATAAAATTGCTGTAAAAATTTCGAATTTTTCTATTGCTTTGTTAGTTGATTCATAACATTTATTATAATAAATGCATTGTCTCTACCGATGAAAAAAAAATTACTTTATAAAATTGAAACGCGTGATATTTAAAAGAAAATAGGTTCCCAGCAAAAGTAGACTGGCAGCCAAAGAATAAAAATAAATGCCAAATAGTAAAGGATAGTTTAAAAAACTCATCTGCATAAGCTTGAGGAAAAATATGCATGATAATTATGATTAATAATAATATGAGTTTTGACATACTTCTTTCTATAATGCAGAAATATTCAATTATAGTTGTTGTAAACGCTTAATTAAAGTTACATTTTTCGTTTACGAGTATACTATGTACGCGAAAAATTATACGTTTGCTATACTCTTGTACTTTTTAAAAATTTGATCCTTATATGTATGGGGTAAATGTCGATTGTGCATGTTCGTAGAAAATCCTATATATTTGATATTTTATTCGTTAAGCGAAAGTCTAGATCAATCTTTTTATAATTAATACAAAAAATATTGATTATTCCATTCAAAGGATTTCTTTAAAAATTTTCATTATAAAAGTTATTACAAAATGTATTTGGTTCTCATTCAAAAGACTGAAAATTTCATTACAAAATAAAGAAAAATTCGGACATAATTTATTCAAATTATATTTTAGTATAACACGTATAATTCTTATACAATTTTCATATAAAGCAAAAACTTATTTAAACTTGTAAAAAAAATATAAATCCGTAACTATTGTCCAATGTCGTTATTTAAAACTAGCTCTTATTAATTCTATTACAACGTAAGTTCTAACAGATCTTATTCTTTTAAAAAATAAATTCATATAATAAAATCTAATTAAAATGTTTATACACTCACGTATAAAAAGCTTCACGTAAGCTAGCACTTTAACAGAATTTAACTATAAAGAAATTTCTGACGCAAATTTCCATTTGTGCCAGATAAAAATATTTTTTTACTAGATTTATTAATTGATTTCAACAGAGAACCGCTTGAAGAAAAGTAAAAACCGTGATCAATATTATTGTCAGCAATTTATATTGTTCCATTTCGTGCATTTTTAAATCAGACTGTTATAAAATTTCAACTATAATTAGTCATTTTTCCATTACAAATATAAATTTCAGTAGGATAATTATAAGCATTCTTTGATTATTCAGAAAAAAAGTGCATATATAAAATATTTTGAAGGACGTGGTTCCCATAATTCAATCTAGAGGTCAGAATTATCAATGTAGATGGATGGTAACGAGTCAAACTATTTTTAAAATATAATTTCCTACAAAAATTCATTAGTAAAACTTTAAAGTAAGTTTTATGTTTTCATTCAAATATAGTCAGCTAAAGGCAAAATAAAAGCAAAAAAAAAGACGAATGATTTCATTTTTGATTAACTAAAGAAATCACATCGCTATTGGTTTTTATGTTTGTGACTCGCTAAATAAATAAAGAAGATATACGTGTAATATAATTCAAGTAAATACATTTATTCATTATAAAAATACTAAACTATTTTACTCTCACTCTAGAGAAATTAATAACTATGTAGCAACATAGGCTACTCTACTTATATATGAAATTCAAACATATTTTTATTTTCTTTACATAGTTATTTTCTATTTAATAATCACAATGTTACATTAGTTTTTCCAATGCAGTAAGCATACGTTATTTGTGCCATTCATTTTCTATAATTTTAATTTCATGAATCTTTAAAAACTTGTAAATTATAACAGTGAGCTAAAGTTGCATCGGAAGAAAAAAGTTAAGTCTATAGGATAATAAGATTAATATCCAAAAAGTACTTTCATAAAAATTAAAGGTTCCATGAATGATTTATTAATAGTGTTGTATATTTTATCTTTTCATTTATGAAAAATAATTATTTATTTTATAATAATCGAGGAAATTTATATTCAATTTATTATTCTTCCTTCTATTGTTTATCGTTTCTGAAATTTTGAAAGCGGTGAAATCTACTTAAAATGATACGGATGCTACAAAATTACTTTTCGATTAGTTTGTTTTACATAAATTATAAAATAATCTGCATAAATATATGATTGCTTATAATTGAATAATCATTATTGTACATATATCATCAATAAATATTATTATCAATCTAAATTAATAAAATAAATCAAGTGTCTTTTAATCATTACAAAAAATATAATCATCCTAAATTTATTATTCTTATGACGAGATAACATATCCTATTTGAATTTATTATAAAGTTTTGAAAGTAATGAAATCTATGTACCTATACCATGGATTCTAAAATTCATACCTGTCGTGTATTAAATAAAATAATAATACCTAATTTATAAAAACTATAATACTTATGTAGTTCTGGAATTAATGATAAATACATTACAATGATTATGACCGACAATTTGTATCAATTTTAAATAATTTTTATTTGTGTTGGACCACTCCACCAACCAAAGAGCAAACTTACATTTTATAAATTCAATCAACTTATCAGTGTGTTGTCTTTTCGATTTTTTTACAACAAATTTCATGAAAGGTTTGATTTATAAGAACAATTGCAGTTTTTTTCAACTAAACATTGTATCTGATAGGCAAGATATAAAAAAAATACTTTTCTGTAGTTGGATAGCTATCAAATCTTTTAATGGATATTTATGATATTAATATAGTAAATTGATATTCCGCCTCATATGCATGTATTAAACAGCTTGAAAAAATAATTATAATTTTTACTGTAAAATAATAAATTTCAAAAATACAAAACAAACCTCAGCAGAATAATAAATATCATGAATTTTGTAAAAAACTGAATTTTCTCTTTTTTTTGGTCTTAAAAAAATTTTTTTGTTAATAAAAATAATAATAATGTTAGGATTGAAATAGAAACACATATTTCTGAATCGAAAATTTGTTTACTTCATACGAACTATGATATTTATTATGGAATAATATTGAATGAGCGAAGAAAAAAATTTCTTAAAATCGAGAAAATTTGTTTTTCGAAAAAATTAAAAAAAAAACAGTATTCCGCTTGAAAAAACAAACATTTTTTCTCTTATCAATTTATTTGAATTTTTAGAATATACGGAGATAAAAAATATTCAAAAAAACTGTCGTTTCCCGGAAAAAATGCCCGTGCGTGCGTTGGTTTTGAAGAAAATAATTTTTTAACCAGTGATTCAGATAGAGCCAGGTAAAAGTTAAAAAATGTACTTACTCAAATTTTTTTAAGATTTTTCTTCCAGATTAGGCAAATTTTTAAAATTAGCAAAAAAATTTCCGAATTTTCAATCTTGAATTAATACTTGCAAAAAATTAAAAAAGAATCGATGGCATCCATGAATCATACCATTTGAAAACTCTTGAAAAGACTTGTCAAACGAGTTTCCGGGCGATTTTGTACGTTGATTAATTAATTAATTAATTAGTTAATTTACTAGAGATATTGAACTTTCAAGTTTGACTAATTTTGCGGCAGGGGGCCTTTTGAGATTAATGCATTAGCGGGTTGATTAACGATAACTCGGCGGATACGGAACAATAAATATTTATTAAACGTAGTGCAGATGAGACTATGAACATGCGAGCTGGCGAAAGCACTCGTGCAAACGTGCATGCGCTGCGGCCATGCTGCCAGAGAGACAGCAAGAAGAGGTGGATGCGCAGTTGCGCGGTTCGAGCGCCTACTTCCTCGGGCGACGTTGTAGATGCTGCCGACTAGTGTCCGAGGGGGGAGACGGTTGAGTCCCCACAGACCCGAAGTAGGTGACGAGCAGTGTATATACTTCTTCGACCAAGGATTCTGATAAAACTTTAAAGCGCGATGAATTTTTTTAAGCCGTAATCCATGCTTTAAAGCTTATTTGAGCGCTCTGTAATGAATCACATAATGAACCTTATTATCAAGAGTAGTCATCAGCTTTTTTTGTTTGGATTGTGGAATTGACTTGTGTTCTAGACAAAACGGTAGATCTTTATGTGTGTGACGTCCAGGTCACTATCTCACGTACGTCTGAGGTGGACGTTATCTCAGGTGCTCTTTTTGGTTTGCGTGCGTACGCCTAAACCGGGATGAGCAATTGGAGAATCAGAGCTTCCTATTTCGCGTTTCGCGTTAAAAGAGGAAAAAAGTTTGGACTGCAAGTCTTCCATCGAACACCAGGATCCAATGGAATCGGGACTTGGATGTGAATATCCCAGACCTTGCTGGAATTATCACATAAAAAAAAGAATTTAATTTATTCTCTAACAGCGCGATTGTCTTATAGAAAAGTATCCCAATTCCTGCTGAAATACTTTTCGAAGACTTAATTCTCTCGAGTTTCGATTTGGCTACGCTAGTAAGAAGAGGAAAAGGAAGGATAGCAATCAAAAATTTAGTTTTGACGTACTTTTTCCTTTTATTCAACGTAATTGTCTGGTACTTAAAGAGTTGAATCTGGACCTGGCACTTGGTCAAACTTTGTGGAACAAGATAAAAAAAACTGGAAAGCTGGAAAAGCGAGAGTGACTATTTTTCGTTCGCGTACGCCCTTTTAAAGCCTGGGGGTGGTTGGGAGAAAAATCCCTCTTTCAGTCTCTCAAAATTTAGGAAGAGTGGACATGACAGCAAATTTTAATTGGCTGACTGAGATTTTCCCACTTTTCTCTTTCGGTTTTCGGGCCCTAATTGGTTCAGGGGCGTGGTGAAAATCGGGGGCGTGCATTCAAGGGTATGGGCCCTATCTCGTTAGATGGCTCCCCAAGTACCATTTTCGTCACAAATTTTTTTATAATTATTAATTTATTTTTCATCTAAATTGTTGTAATTAATTCATAATAATAACGCAGTTTTATTAATATCTAAACATATTTTATGCGAAAATCTCTAATCCTACATGTTTACAATGAGTAACTTAAATAATTAACTAAATTTGTTGTTTAAATAATATGGAATGAGAAAGAACATTCGTTTACATGAAGCTTAATATATATATTATATATTAATGAAGCTTAATATATATAATATATATATTATAGTTGATTGTGAACTATCTAATTGATTTATTATTTAAAAAAAAGTGTCTTGTTGTCTTTTTCTTTTGTTTATTTGAGTTTTATTGGCTCTTTGATTAACTTAATTTTTGCACAATTAATTTAAATATTTGAACGTAAAAGGAAACTTGTTAAAAACTTGTATTTATTATTTTATCTAATGAAATTCAATTTTATTTATTACAAACATAATTTTAATTTATGTCGCATGTTTGACTAATATACTATAGTTCATTTATGTAATTGTTTTTTGAATATTTATTAAATTTTCCAACTTATAGCTTCAAAACTTTTGGATATTTTCGTTAATTGTGCGTTAAAAGGCATTTGATGTACCTTTGACACCACCCGCATGCCAGTGGGCCCCTTCAACAGAGTGCCCCCACCCCACTCACCCATTCCACCATCCACCTACAGAGGTTGTTAAGGTAGGATGCTGTAGAAGTCGGTAGGGTATTTGGTAAACTATATAATGGTCTCTCTCTCACTCTCCTTCGATAGTAGGACGCTTATGCTGACTGAGTGTGGGCCCTCGGAGAGGGGGTAGCGTCTCTATCTTACTAGGCGCGCACGCCGTATAGTGTGGATGCTGTTCTCTCTCTCTCTCTCACCCTCCCTCTCTCGCTCTTCTTCGATAGTAGGGCGCTTAGTAAGTTTATGCTGGCTGAGTGTGAGCCCTAGGAGAGGGGGTAGCGTCTCTAGCTTGCTAGGCGCAGCCACCACCCACCCACCTCTCACCTTTTGTCTGACTACCCCCTCTTCAACCTACAGCGCCGAAACCGCTGCTTTCAGCGCCACCATAGTGCTTAAAAGCCGTGCTCGATTGGACAAGAGCGTAGTTTTTCGAGACAGCCCGCTTCACTAGCTTTCTTAGCAGTGACAAGCAGTAGTAGTAGTAGTAGTAGTACTAGTAGTAGTAGTACTAGTAGTAGTAGTAGTAGTACTAGTAGTAGTAGTACTAGTAGTAGTAGTAGTAGTAGTACTAGTAGTAGTAGTACTAGTAGTAGTAGTAGTAGTAGTACTAGTAGTAGTAGTAGTAGTACTAGTAGTAGTACTAGTAGTAGTAGTAGTAGTACTAGTAGTAGTAGTAGTATTACTAGTTATCCTACGTACATTTTCATTACAATGGCTTCTATTTCTTATTTTGAAAAAACAGTACGTGATTTATGGAAAGCCTATTACAACTCAGACGCTAATAAGGATGATTTTATTAGATGGAAATATATAATAATTACCGCTTTGAATTCTCTTGAAAAATATATGTTTCAGCCTAACTTAAGTAGAGCAATATGACAGAGATGTCAAACTTGCGCTTCTCATTTGAATTCAATCGAAATTAATTTAAATAATTCCATAAAAGTCGGAAGAAATGTTAATTCATTACGAGTTATTCCAAATGAAATTGAAGGGGACGGAGTTATGTGACGTGAAATAAATTCAGCATTTGAAAA